CCATCTCCGAACAAGCAGCCAATCGCAAAGCAAGAGGTACGACACTGCTCTCATTGCACAGCACTACAGTATCCTTTGTACATGTTGTTTGAAAATATCGAGTCATGCGATATCAGCGGTGCAAAATGCGCTCGTAGACCGACGCCACGACGGTGTAGACCATCATAAGGCCAAACATCTGGTAGCTGAACGACGTTGGCAGCGGCGTGCCCAAGAGCTCGGCGATGGCGTTCTTGTCTAGTGGTTTCGTTATAAACAGGCTCAATTTCCTCGTCCACACGCGGCAGCATCGTAGTACCTGGTAGCAGCACGAGGCTCAGCGCGACGCCAGCACACGTCACCACGTAGAGCACAAACGGCCAGTTGGAGGAGATACTGGCGCGGAACGGTCCGTTCCAGTTGAAGACCATGGCGAGCGTAATGTAAAACCAGTACCCTAATCCCGGTCTCGTTTCTCTAACCCTAAAAACCGAACGTACCCGACGCAAACGCGATCGACACTTCGTAGGCGTGGACCTTCATGTCCCCCGACTCGTCGGGGACGTACTTCTAGCAGCTCTTGCGGCCACGTCATTGAGCGAGCAAAACCACTCGGACGACGTGGCAATGAGAAAGGGCAGGCTCAAAAAGAGCGCAAACAAGAGCAAATGCCCAAGAAGCGAGGCGACCACGATGCGGGCAAAGAGCGAGTCGGGTGGGCGACCACGATGCGGGCAAAGAGCGAGTCGGGTGGGCGCTCGCGCGCGAGGCGGCGCGCCGGCCCCGTTTGTAGCATGAGCAGTGAGAGCCCCAGCACGATAAAGAGGTCGTCGCAGAGGTACTAGACACCATTAGTTCACTAAGAATAAGAAATAAAAATAGAACAACGAACCTGGTTGTTGGAAAGCGACGCTTGGTACGAATTGATGACCGAGATGAGACTCGTCTCGATGATGGGATACAACAGCATGTACTTGAACGAGAGAAGCGACGTCATGAGCGCACAACGACCTTCGCAAAGGAGGGTCACAACGTCTTCAATGTGTTTGTGTCGGCTCGTAAACGGAGCCACAACCACAGCAGTGGTCAAAATATCGAGTCAATATCAAGTTGAAAATACCAAGCGACGCTTCGGCGTCTGAGAGCGCGAGGCCGATGTGCGCGGCCTTGAGCGCACCGCAGTCATTGGTGCCGTCACCGCACATGCCGACACAGTGCCTACCCCCGCAACAAGAACAGATCGCGACAAGTAAAAGCGGATTTTACCCCGACGCCATCAACGACGTGACGATCCACGTCTTTAGATGCGGGCGAGTGCGAGCAAAAATCTTGGTGCGCTCGACGATCGCAGCAACCAACGCTGCATCCGACGCATGCTCCTGAAGCAACTCGAGCGCGGCGCCCGTCATCTATAAAAGATGATGAAACTCAAGGGTCTTGAGCAAAATACTGTACCGTGGCGTCGTGTGTCTCAAACCATGCAAGACATGCGCTGTAGTCGTCGATCGGGAACTCGTGCCACGTGTGGTAGACGTCCTTGGACGCATCCGGCACCATCGAAATCGCAAGCTCACCGACCTAGACACCTTGTGTATAGTTAATAAGCGAATTGGATTCAAACACCTTGTCAAATGGATGGATTTGGTATTGGACGCGGTTGTCGACGACGTCGAGCAGCACCATGCGCGTCTGGAGCCGCAACTCGAGCTCGCTGCACCATCAATGCAAGTGTACTCGGGCGCAAGCGCGTCATGCACCAGCGTTGGTGGCGCCTTCAATGGCGATAAAAGCGGCGCGCGTAACGATGGTGTGGACTTCTCCTTGGGCGCACACAGCGTGGCTGTTGTGGTGATTGCACGTCAACGGATGGCGCCGTCCGGTGCAGGAGGTTCGACAAGGAATGATCGCTCGCCATAGCCATCTTGCTATCCAACTACACTATCGGCAGTAACAGAGATATCTGCCGTTCGCAAGGTAGGCAGAGGGTCTACCACGCCGGCGCTAGCAGTGAAGAATATCATGCGGATCATCAGCTCTTCACATAGCATAGCATGGCAAGACCGACGAGGCACCACGATAGCCTCGGCGGTCTGGGGCTCGAGTGCGTGGAGCAGCTCGAAGGACGCATGTCTAGAAGGATGGGCAGTATTGCGCAAGGACATCACCCAGCGGGGTCTTCTGGTACCAAGCGCATGGTCGCTCCTGTCTCTGCTTCTGGACGGTCGTGCGGTCGTGGCATCGTCCAAGTGGTTTTGATTGGCATGGTGGTTTTCTATTTCACACCGTGCCACTTCATTTCTCACGCGTGGAATTGATGGGAAACGGTGTCATTGGGCGTTACCGGCGTGTCGCAGACCGACATGGCGATCAAGGTCAGGCTGGCTACGTGGCCGACGTCGTGACGAGCGTGCAGCTCCTTCCGCTGCTCCATGACGTCGTGTCCTTTCTGCGCGCGCTGTCACCGTCGGCGCAGGAGCCGCCTCTGACTGCGCTACTGCAGCTAACCTCGCGTTCACAATGCAAACCTCTGGCCCGAAGCTTCGCCTCAAGAGACCACACCCAATGACAGCATGGTCATTGCGATCGCCGCGCCCAGCACCTTTCGCACCGTGCGCGTCACGTTACCGAGCGAGTCGGAGGTGCGGCGACGGCCTCGCATGGTAGTGCTCGGATGGCGGTCGAGTGGGCGCCCGCGTCGTTCCCGTGGCTCGTCGAGCGCTGGGGGCCGCAAATCACACGGCTTTCCATCAACACCAACCGGTATCTCGCCCACATACGTGATTTATCCCGCCGCTTTACCTCTACGATGACAAGGCCGCCGTCAACGTCGGGCCGCTTCATTCCTCGCTGCGGTCGACGGTGCTGACGACGCTTGCGCTAGAAGGCACTGCGAGCTCGATATGCACGGTGCCCAACACCATCGGCTTGTTCCCAAACGTGCGAGACGTGTCGCAATCTGGCGGCGTCTTCGACGATACGAAGCTCTTGCTGACGCCAAGCTTGTCGCTGCGGTGCGTCGCGGGGGAGCGCATGCAGCTTCCAAAGAGCGCGATCTGCGCACTCTTGCGCTGGGCGGCAACGGCCGACCGCCTGGAGCAGCTCGAGTGGACAAGAACGTCGTTGGGCGACGCAGTGCTGCGGCCATCGCATACGCGTTGCCGTCCTGGATAGCCAAGGGACTCGAACGCCTCGATCTCGGCGAGACCGGATGGAAGCAAGTGCAGCCAGCCTCGTGGCAACCGCACTAGCCAAAGCTAGAGTGCCCATGGACCCGCTGAGCGTCAACATTCGTGACAGCCTCATTGACTTCAATAACTTGCGTTGCCTCGTGCAAGCGCTAGTGTACACCGAATCCATAAAGCCATTTCTGAGCTCCAATGCATCAAAGTCTGTTGGTCTAGATCAGTCGCCGCTGTGTCCAACACCCCCGCAAAGTCGACATTCTTGCCTAAGTCGAGCTTGACCTTGGATCGCGCTGCGGCGTACGCATGTACTTGCTCGAGCGCGCGGATGAGCGAGTAGGTCTGTGCTGCCGAGCATTGGCACCGTAACTACAAGAAGAGAGGAATTCCGTTTCGACAACGTGTCAAAAGCGACTATACATTGACACATTCTTGC